AGAGTGTGTGTGTGTGTGTGTGTGTGTGTGTGTGTGTGTGTACGTGTGTGTGTGAGAGAGAGAGATAGCGAGAGAGAGAGAGAGAGAGAGAGAGAGAGAGAGAGAGAGAGAGAGAATAAATTAAAATCAAAATCAAAGATTGTGGTTATGTACTGTGCATTTTGTACACCGTCATCAGAGCTATATCGTGATTTAAGAAGCAGACTACATTGACGCTACAAACTGCACCAAGACAAATCGCTACCTCAGAATTACGAAGTTTTATCTGCTCGGTAACTAGTTTTGAGAAAATTGACGTTAAAAAATGTTGAGTTCCACAACTTGTCAAGCTTTTTCAAATGGAATTCTTTGAATATCTTGATAACTACCCAAAATAGTCTTCCGATTTCGATAGAACAGATAGAACATTTAGTTCCTGACCTCTTGGCTTTAGTAACTCAAAACGGCCAAAATAATTATGTAAGATAGAACTTTGTAATTCTTTGGTAGATAAATACAGAACCCCAACATGAAGACAAAGATTCTCCCGGCGGTAATATTCCCATCATAGGAATCGAACTCACGTCAGTTACATACGAAGGAAAGAACGTATTCTTCCCGCCACAGATGTCGTTTGTGAAAGTAAAAACGGAAGTACATGTAAAAGGAAGAAAGACGTTTCTTTTTATTTCACATAACAATCAACCGTCATCTCGTTCATGGGAGCTGAAGGGTGACAGCTAAGTGCTTTCCCTTCAAGCAAGGAAACAAACAAACAAAGAGACAAGGAAAAGAAAAAGAAACAAGCAAAGAAAGGAGCGGTAGAAGCTGAAGGGTGACGGTTGAGTGTATTCTGCTGAGAAAGAAAGAAGAAACAAACAAATGTACAAAGAGAGAAAGCTGTCAAGACCGATCAGGTGATAACATATTAGCACCAAACGCCCGTTGTGGCAATGTATCCTTCTATTAAGGGGCCAATCACATTGTTGTGTATGAATCTACGTATACGTGAATGATCATGAGCCTCACGACACTACTGTCATTTTTGTAAACAACTAAGACAATAATTTTCTACTCTCCACGGAGTAGCGGTCAGAAAGGCTGCAGAAAGAGCCAAAGGCCCAGAGGAGGGGGCCAAAGAGGGGATGGGGTGACGGCAGAAAGTTGAGACGAAAGCAGACGACAGAACATGATTAGATAGCAGGAAAAGAGGTAAAAGGAGAAAATTGTTGAAAGAAAATTCTGTCGCAGATAAGTTTCGAACCCGGGACCTATTGAGTGAGAGGCGAATACCGTAACATCTAAACCACAAGAGCCCTCTTTGGCGAGGTGAGGATGATGCACTGGTCCGTCAAATGCCGGTTTTGCACGGGGGTTCCAACGACGCCGGTTCCCACTCCAGTTAAAACCGCCTGGTTGGAACGTACATTATTGTGTAGAGCCCCTGGAGATAACCATTGTCACTGTTGAACCACTATGGCGCTGCCCACTGTAATTGAATTAAGACATCTTGTTTGTTGGGGGAAGG